AATGTTATTTTTAAGATTTGACCAAAACAGGTGTAAGCCAATCATTTTTAAAGTAAGATGATCCTAGTTAATACATCTGGAATTAAAGCAGTGAGAGAGTTTTCTATGCATTTCTTTCTTTTTCATGGATTCTTCAACAGATCTTGCAGAAGGGCGGAAAAAACGGAACACCAATCAAAGGAGAACTAACCAAGTGCTGCTGTTGTGATGAGGTCAGGTGTGATGAGGTCAGGTATTCTGTTAAGGTGTTACAACACATCGTTTCGGTCCACTCTTGAAATGTTTTATTGCAAATCAGTAGAGAGTTGTTCTCGGTGATCACCTGCTTTTTGCTGAAACGTTTATATCCTTTGGAGATGACTGTGCTCCCATATTCATGGCTCAGAGAGCCACTGATTAGTTTGATGGATATGAAAATGGCATCAGCCACTTGCTATGGCCAGACAAAAGTCGGACCTAAGGGAGACATACCATACTGCCTGATTGGGTAACATCAATGAAATGAATAACTTCTCGTCTCGTCTCCTCTTCCTCCGCTTATCCGGGTCCGGGTCGCGGGGGCAGCATCCCAATTAGGGAGCTCCAGGCCGTCCTCTCCCCGGCCTTGTCCACCAGCTCCTCCGGCAGGACCCCAAGGCGTTCCCGGACCAGATTGGAGATGTAACCTCTCCAACGTGTCCTGGGTCGACCCGGGGGCCTTCTGCCGGCAGGACATGCCCGAAACACCTCCCCGGGGAGGCGTCCAGGAGGCATCCTGACCAGATGCCCAAACCACCTCAACTGGCTCCTTTCGATCCGGAGGAGCAGCGGTTCTACTCCGAGTCCCTCCCGAATGTCCGAGCTCCTCACCCTATCTCTAAGGCTGAGCCCGGCCACCCTACGGAGGAAACTCATTTCGGCCGCTTGTATCCGAGATCTCGTTCTTTCGGTCATTACCCAAAGCTCATGACCATAGGTGAGGATTGGGACGTAGATCGACCGGTAAATCGAGAGCCTGGCTTTCTGGCTCAGCTCCCTCTTCCCCACGACAGATCGGCTCAGCGTCCGCATCACTGCAGACGCCGAACCAATCCGCCTGTCGATCTCCCGATCCCTCCTACCCTCACTCGTGAACAAGACCCCGAGATACTTAAACTCCTCCACTTGAGGTAGGACCTCTCCCCCGACCCGGAGGTGGCAAGCCACCCTTTTCCGGTCGAGAACCATGGTCTCAGATTTGGAGGTGCTGATCCTCATCCCAGCCGCTTCACATTCGGCCGCGAACCTACCCAGCAAGAGCTGAAGGTCAGAGCTGGATGAAGCTAGGAGGACCACATCATCCGCAAAAAGCAGAGACGAGATTCTCCTGCCACCAAACTCGACACACTCCACACCACGGCTGCGTCTAGAAATTCTGTCCATAAAAGTGATGAACAGAACCGGTGACAAAGGGCAGCCCTGGCGGAGTCCAACCCTCACTGGGAACAGGTCCGACTTACTACCGGCTATGCGGACCAAACTCACGCTCCTCTGGTAAAGGGACTGAATGGCCCTTAACAGAAAGCCACCCACTTTGGGAGGAAAAATGAGAGTGGTACATTTAAGTCCATGGGACCAAATGCACTCTTGTTCAGAGTATTTTCTACTCTATTTGAGTCAAATGTACTCAGCTTGAGTAAAATTAACTGAAGATTTTAGGGCATTGAAAAATAAATGTCAGGACACATGGAGGTTGCTTAAAGTGAGGGTCAAGGCCTGGGTGGAGACGTATTTCATCCACACTTCCTGTTAGGAAAACGCTTCTGAAAGAGGCGTCTCCTGGCGGACCGAGAGAACGGCACTGAGGCAGTGGTAGACCGCACCCCCCTCAACCCCTCGCGTGTGCTGTCGGAGTTTCTCAATCTAAAAACTAGCTGTTAACGAGCGCGTGCGCACTCACACGTGCACGCACTCACGCACGCACACAAGACTTACCCCTCAGGAGAAAAGCAAACACAGATTCTGCAGCATTCTGGAGGATTTCCTGTTAACTACTATCATTAGATGAAAAGGGGAGGAGGGCATTTTTTTCAAGGAGGCGAGCGGCTCAGAGAGCCAGCGTGTCATATTGGCAGGTGAGTGGCTGAGCCAGGTGGAAGTGCGGCTGCCTCACCTGGAGACCAGTGCGGTGCAGCCACGTAGTACTTTGCTGACAATGTCACGTTTTTCAGCTTAGCCATCAGCCACAGCTGGTTCTACATGAACGTGGAGCAGAGTTTTTAACCTGAAGATGGAGACATAATTATGGTTTTGGGCTGAAATATTAAAGTTAAAGTAAGTTGCACTTAACTGCCACAGTAATGATTACACATGTGTACAGCACCATTAGACACTCATCTATACAGGTTATCAGCAAAAAAAAAGTTCATTTAGGCGTTATTTGCTCTTTAAGTGGCCGAGGACCTTATTAAGAGATTTATCTCTGTTTGTTTGAAAATGTCAGCATGTTAGTTCCATTATTAATGTGCTTTCTACTTATTATCTCAATTGATTTGGTCTGAGACAATACACAACAGAAATAAAGCATCTTTGATCATTTCTTGCAGTTTCTAAAGTATTAGTCTAACTGTTAAATTTGCTAACATAATTGAGTAAAATAATGAAATTCAGATTAACGTGTAAATCAGAAGGGATTTATTTGGACATTTTGCAAGGAATGTTTTTTAAACAGACCTATCAGTTACAAGAATTGTACCAGACTTGCTTTTTGTTTTTGTATCAGTAAACACATTGTTTTCCAGTTAAAACAAAAAACAAAACAAGTCCTTTAATTTCTCAAGACAACTAATGCGGTGATTCCATTAATACTAAAAACAAAAAACAAAACAAGTCCTTTAATTTCTCAAGACAACTAATGCGGTGATTCCATTAATACATACTCAGCGTGACTCGAATCGATTCGGTCTGGTTGGACAGCATTTAATTTAGAAACAGGTACCAGGTTAACTTTCCGGTACCTGGTTCAATGTGGTTCCAAGCAAAGCCGAAAATGCGACATCAGCAACCATCTGTCACTGATTGGCTAGGGGGTGGAGTCACTGGATTCTCCTGTCAACCTAAACATGTATACTTTTGTAGAAGAAAACTGAACTCACACATACCACCCCCTACATGTCACCCCTCTGTTCATTAAGCTTCATTGGCTACCGCTAGCTGCATTCATCAAATTCAAATGACTAGCGCTAGCATACAAAGTCCTGGATGGTACAGCTCCCATCTACTAGATCCCTCTTGCGAAGACTTACGTCACGGCCCGGCCGCTCCGATCGTCGAAGGATCGTTGGCTAGCAGTGCCTACGCCACGCTCAGGACAATCCAGACTCTTTTCATGAGTCTGCACTACTAGCACTACTAGAACTGGGGCGTCCTTGTTGATTTTCCAGAAACTCCTGAAGACCCTGCTCTTCCGAGAGCATCTTCTAAACTAACACCCTCCCAGCACCCGTCCCCCACTCTGCACACTCCATGTTGGCTTCCCTCTATGATTGATTATGCTGCTTCATTTCCACCTAGGACTGACTGAATAGTGTTTTTTGTTAGCCTCGAGGGCAACCTGCTGGCTTGGTTATCACCTGTAAGTCGCTTTGGACAAAAGTGTCTGCTAAATACATAAATGTGCTTGAGGAGAACATATTGATAGTGTTTCCTCTTGGCTGTCTCAAGGATCTGTGAGGGGTAACTTGGGCAGTGCTTCCTCCCCATGTCTCACCCGTTGACTTCGGGAGATAGAAATCAACCCTCTGAGACCCCACTCAAGAGTTATTTGGAAAATGGATGAACATAAGTTTAGATGGTTTCGATGTAAAAGCATTGATCATTCCTGCCTTGTATTAATGCTTCAGGCCACTGCTGGTGCAATGGTGGTGATAGGGGATGTTCTTCGTCCTCTTTGGACCTCTTAGTACCACCTGAGTCTGGCACACTCTAGCTGAGTATTGTTGCAGACCACCACAGTGAACTCATGACTACTTCTAACAGGATAATGCACCATGTCACAAAGCTAAGATCACTTCTAACTGGTTTCTTAAACACGACGATGAGTTCACTGGACTCCAACATCCTCCACAGTCACCAGATCTAAACCCAAAAGCTTTGGGAAGTGGCGGATTCAAATCACAGATGTAATCGACACAGCTGCAGCGACTGTGAGATGTAATAACGTCAATATGGACCAGAACTCTGATGAATCTTTCCTATACCTTATCGAGTTTATGTTATTCATTTAGCTTATAATGCAGCCACTTGGGACAACATCTTGCAAAAGGAAACTTGTACATCTGAATCTGGGATCAAGCAGCAAACTTTGTGATTGACAGATGACCGTTGTTTCACTGATGCCCTTTCAAAGTGTACAGAATAACTGTCCAGCTTCAGTACACTGAAGTTTCTTAGCCTTCTTTATTAGCTGTTTTGTTTTTACAACCGATATTGCATGGACACGTCAATAAAACTTTAATTTTGATGCAATAATCTGTTCCCATCTGTCATTCCTTTTTTACATCAAACAACGTTATTACCTGTAATAACCAATGTGATGACTACTGTCATTACTTACCTATTATTTCCCAGAATTTCAGTCATTCTCCTGATATAAAAGTTTATAAGCTGCTTTTTGCAAAGTCATGAAAACTGCAGGGCCCTGAATATTCAAAGAAATGGGTACAGTCTACTTAATTCACCTGCCTTTACAGTGGAGAGAAAAAAAGGCTCAGCCATCATGTTTTTTTCCCTGATGAGATGCAGAAATGTGAGCTGGCTGCATTCGGCATCTTATCCCAACATCCAGGTTTTTTATTTTAGTTTTTAGAATAATCAGCCAATATTAAAATCCCCACCACTGCAATCAGAATGAAAAAACAAAAGCAAATCACCAGAAATAGAAAACCATGTGCTGGTTGTTCCTCTCTCCCCTCAGCCGGCGTCAGGGAGGAGACCAGGCAGGTGGATGAGGGGGGGAGAGAAGACCGTCAGACGGCACTCACCTCTGTCCCGGGGGCTCCGCGAATTTACAGAGTCCCGTCGCCCCCTTCCCCCGCGGCGTGGTCGCGCGTGCTGTTCCAGTTTTGCGATGCGCGGTCCCTTTCCTTTTTTAATCCATCTCCGGCATCCTTCGAGTCGCCCCGGAATACAAAAATCCTCGTCAGTACTCCGAGAAGGAGCGATGGGAGCTAGGAGGGGTGAGAGATCTATCTATACAGGAGGAAGGATGGAGAGAGGAGAGAGGCAGTAGGGATGCTGATGGTGGAAAGTCCAATTTGCCGCACGTGCTGCTAACGCGCTCCGCTCCTATCTGCGTCCTGGCTTCGGATAAGTGAAAGATTCACGTGCGTCTACGCGGTTCCTCCCTCCCAGGTCCCAGCGTCTCCCCCCCACGTCCAACACAGAACGTGGATCCGTTTTAAATATTTTATTTCATTGTATTTTATATTAAAAGGCTGATTTCATCCGTGACTTGGTTTTCGGGTACACATCCCCACACACACACACACACACACACACACACACACACACACACACACACACACACACACACACACACACACACACACACACACACACACACAGAGGGGGAGTGGGAGTTGTGGTGTGTGAGCTCTGATGGGGGGAGGAGACAGTCTGGTCCACGCTGCCTTCCAGGGCCGCGAGGCGACCAAGACAAAGGGGGAGCTTTTTTTTAACGTGCGTACACACCTCATGTGCGCATGTCGATGCGATTGTGTTTATATGCGCACCACAAACCCCACGCATAGATGTGCGTAAAAACGAGTGGGCTGTGTGGAGATGTCTGCAGGCAAAAGGTTGGATTGGGTTGTTGAATTAAAAGAATAATCCTTCCCCCCTCTCTCTCTCTCAAAAAAAAAAAAAAGCAGGAGATTGTCATTTAATCTGCAATATCATCCAGGGAAGAGGTTTCTGTTGCCTTTGTTTGCACCAAGGGGTGTGGCAGGCGGATGACCAGAGTGGTGCATTTAGATCACCCCGGAATCCACCAGCACTTCAAACCCCAAATGATTCTGACTCACCCCGAGGTAATCAGCATAAAACAACTCAGCTGTGCTTCAGAAGATAAGAGATCTATATCTGTTCTCACAGTTATCAATTCTTAGGGATTAAAGCTGAGCTCACGTGTTTGACACCCTTTAGCTGTTTTCCTATGGCTGTGACACATTCAGGGACATCTGGAGTTTATGCATTAGTATCCAAGCTTGCAAAGGTGTGGGGTAGGAACTCGCCTGCTGACCAGTCTCCAACGGTATTCAGATATTTGCATACCCCCACCCCACATATCCTCTCTGTCTCAGTTGGCTCTGTGCTGTAAGAATGGGGGCGCCCCATTTATTGTTGATCTTGTCTCTAGTTGCCAGGGAGTCCTTCTGGTACTCACAGGGCACTCCCTTCCCTCCGATTCCCACCCCTCCTGATCCGCCTCTCATTCCCCCTGCGGTGCCTATCCTCCGTCTCAATGCACACACACACACACACACACACACACACACACACACACACACACACACACACACACACACACACACACACACACACACACACACACACACACACAGATCCAGCTACCCCGCCAATAATACCCAAGGGTTGGTCACAGCTGGTAGGAGCTAATAAACTCATCACTCACTGTGTTGGGCTCCTATTTACCTACTAGACAAAGCACTTTATAGAGAGGAAAGGAGAGATGTAAGGTGGAGGTGGTTAGATGTTTTCCTCTGTTTGCCACTGAAGAACTATTCTCAGCATCGTGGGTTTTATTTCGTTATCAACACATTTTCAGAGATAGACACCCCCCACATTTAAATCTTCTTTGTTATGACATTCATACATGTCAGCATTTTTTTGTCATCCACCCCAGTTGGACAGTAAATGATTTGCTGGAGGGTATGCTCATTGGGGATTCTTAAGTTTGATTAAAATTTGTCTTGACTGATTTTCACATATGTGACCCAGATACTCGTTTGAACCAAATACTGATTGCCAATGTGTGCCAACATGCATTAAGACACAAACGTGTGGCGCTTTGCATAATTGTCATAGATGTCTATAGAAACGCAGGTCGATAAATGCATCTGAAGAGCTGCCACATATGGTCAGTAGTAGATCCATAATGCCCTAAAAGTTATGCTGCAGGGTCTCAATAGAGCTTTATTACTAAGCACAAATACACAATTTCTTGAGTGTATTAAGAATTTGAAGGAAAAGCCAACACCTTTAATTATTATGTTCCTCAAACAACTCCTGAATCAGGCTTTCCTGCATGACAGGGTATATTTTTCTGATGGCAGAAAAATAAAAGAATAGACTTTTCTTCAAGGGATGTAGTTGGTTCTATGGTTAAAGGTTCCCAAGCCTATGAAACTTTCTGCAATGCAAAGAGACGTTTTCATCTACATGAAGGAAGACAATGGAATGCATCTGATCAGGCCATGCTTGCTTCAGATGATGTTGTCTAAAGGGCACTACACACAGGCCAGCACAAGGAGCCCGATTGTTCACTGTACCTGTATGCAGCAACTTCTGTGCCTTGCATCACTTATCTAACATTAGCCAATAAAACAATTCTAAAATTGAGTCAGAGGACACTGACCAAGTCCTACTTTCATCATCTTAGCCTTCAATGTGGCCATTTCTGCACCTTTCTGTCACGATCAGAACTCGGAAGACCCGTGATGACACCAAACACAGTAAAGTTCCTTAAAAAGTCTTTGTTGGATGTGGCGTTACCAGAGGAGGGCGAGGCGGGAGACAGAGTCGGAGAGGAGAGGAGGCGTGAGTCAAAAACCAGAACGAGGCGAAGCAGGTAAATGGAGCAGGCTAGAGAAGGGGTCAAAGATAGGCGAGGGTCGAGATGGCAGGCAGAGTCCTAGGCAGGGGTCAGGTGTGGAAATGAGGTCCCGAGGCTGTGATCAGGCAAGGTGCAAGGCTGGAAAATCTACTGACAAAAGCGTTCAATAATCTGGCTCTGGTTGGATAGCAGGCTGTGAGTTAAATAGCAGAAGGAGCAGGTGTGTGGGATGAGCTGATAACAGGAACAGGTGAGATGAATGAAGTTGATGAGGTGCAGGCTGAGGTTGCTGTGGAGACAGCAGAGGCAGAGGAGGGTGTAAGACTGGGAGTCATGACACTTTCTTCCTTTGGACCACTTTTAGGAAGCCCTTATCATGAGGTCTAAAACCATTCCATCAGATCTTTATTCGAATTGGAAAAGGCTAGAATGCTTTCTCCAGGTCAGGGATGAGGTCCTGCCTCAAGTGGAGGAGTTTTAGTATCTCGAGATCTTGTTTACAAGTGAGGGAACGATGGATCGTCAGATTCAAAGGTGGATTAGTGCTGCTTCTGCAGTGATGTGGGCGCTGTACCGGTCTGTCTTGGTGAAGAGAGATCTGAGCTGGAAGGTGAAGCTCTTGATTACCGGTCGATCTACGTTACTACCCTCAACTATGGTCACAAGCTTTGGGTAGTGGCCGAAAGAACAAGATCGCAGATACAAGCAGCAGAGTTTTCTCCACAGGGTGGCTGGGCTCTCCCTTAGAGATAGGGCGAGAAGCTCGGTCATCTGGGAGATGCTAGAGAGTAGACCCGCTGTTACTCCACATTGAGAGGAGCCAGACAGTTGAAGTGGCTTGAATGCCTCCTGGATGCCTCCCTGGTGAGGTTTTCCGGGCATGTCCAAACGGGAGGAGACCCAAAGATAGAACCAGGACACACTGGAGGGACTATGTTGCTCAACTAGCCTGAGAATGCCTTGGGATTACCCCAGGGAGAGCTGGCCCAAGTGTCTGGGGAGATGGAAATCTGGGCCTCTCTGCTCAGGCTGCTGCCTCTGCGACCCGATCCCGGATAAGAGGAAGAGAATGGATGGATGGACAGATCTGCATTCATGATGAAACTATGTCCAAAAATGTTATCCTGGTCAAAGGTGCTAGCAATCTTTGTTAGTTTACAGCAGGATTACTCAATTCTGGGCCTCAAGGGCTGGTGTCCCACATGTTTTAGTGGTTTTCTTGGTCCAATACACTATTAATTGGTGGAATCACCTGTACAGCTGCTCATCATGCTCTGAAGAAGCCTGTTCATCACCTACTGATTGAAATCAGGTGTGTTGAAGCAGAGTTAAAACCAAAATGTGCTGAATAATGGCCCTCAATTCCCGGAATTGAACAACACTGGTTTACAGTCTTAACCTAGAGAGCAGAATGTCCACTATGAGTCCAATTTATCCCAAATACTGCCAGGCTCAAATGTAATTGATAATCAATACTTTTTTCTTTGAGCCACCTGTCAGCCAAAAATTCATCCATCCATCTCTCAAAACTCACTCATTTCAGCGATTGGATTCTGATTGATTTTTTACAAATCATCCAGTGTGTCCCTTTGAAGACACCTGCCAAAGATCTATTGTTGGTTTTATTGTAAGATGGATTATCCAATCATGAGCAAGAGCAGAGAACTCATGATTGATGGGTTTTTATCACTGTGTGAATATTTCCATTTCATACAGTCTGGTTGATGTACCGGCTCATCAGCATGCCACTCTCTTCACGATGTCCTCCTACAATAATTTGTCATTTGTAGTTGTGTTCTCACAAACCAGTAACAGCTTGAACTACTCAAAGATCCAAACGTTCTCAGCTGGGGTTTCTTACAGCAGGAAAGGATGGTGAAGGTTGTGTTTTTCAGTTACACTTTCAATTAAAGCATAGTCATGGCATTGATGCACCATCCTCTTGTTTGCTCTTAATATCAGACATTTTAAGTTCTTTTGGGCTATTCCAAACCACAAACCCACAGGTAAAGCACACTTTCTCTTCAAACGTGCTGATTCCAGTGAACAAACATTTTAATGATGGGTGTTGGCTTTTTTCATTCATCCAATCATGCATCCAGTTTGCACATCCAAACTCAAGCTTTGGTAGTGAAATAATGTCTTTGAACTCCAACAGTTTCACTGTTTTCCTTTTACAGCTTCAAACACACACCAACTTGGATGAATGAGTGACATGTAGGCCCGAAGCAGCATTTCCACTTGAAGTCCTCGAAGGTATGATGCTTTGTTTGATGGTAATCCTTAAGATCCATAGATCCAACATATCATATTTTTCCTTAGGTCCACAGGTGTGGATTTTTACTTTGTGTAGTGGCGTTTCCTTGTTCGTCTAACCAATTTCCTTTCATTTTTAAATCCTTAAGCCACTGCTGCACTGAAGTGCCATTTTGTACGCAGGCAAAATAAGTCAAATGCCCAAAAGATCTTAAACGTTGATTTTTAAGGGTTTATTCATCTAACTTGTCAAGTATGATTCACATCTCCATTTCCTGCTGCTTCTCCTGCTCTGGTAAAAAAAAAAAAAACAACAACAACCATGGGCCCACCCCAGTGCATGCTGGTCCAACACCAGTCCTATATTTATAGAAAACAAACACCTCTGTTCTTCCGGGCTGATTCTCACTGGCAAAACAAGCAAAAATAAAGTTATAATTAACCAACAACTAAACCT